AAGTACAGAGGTTGACATAGGATGACGAACTGTCTTTCTTAATGCGGACGAGGACATTCCAGGCTTCATGGAATTTTGGATGGATGTCCCATCCAGACCGCCTGCTAATAAGGACCGCGCACCGCGTCGATTCCTTCCAGCAAATGACGATTTGGCGAAACCGATTATCCTGGTGGAGATACAAAGTGTTCTCAAAAAGATGTTGGGTTCGGCTCCCGGTAGATACCGCATCAAGCCCACCGACGTTGCATGGATGTATCAACACTATACCTTCCTTACTAAACTGGCATTCTACTTTCTGTCCATTTCCCATCCCCGTGAACGTAGCCCGTATAAGTGCCGTACCTAAATTCCCCCAGCCAACCCCACTTAACCAACTCCGTCCCATCTCAGTTTTATCTGTCTTCCCACGCCTCCATCTTATTTTCTTTGAACGTTGGGTCCCGGCTTTCCCTACCGATTGCCATCAGTTTGACTTTCTGCGTTAAGATGGCTCTTTCGTAGCACCATGCATAATCCATGCAGCTTTCCTCCATTCGCACTCCTTTCTTAACCCCTTTAATTTGCGGCAGAAAATATCACGAAATCGTTCGATTCCATTTTTCAACACACCTTACTTAGAGCGGCAGCTTTTCGGAATTCCTCCGCTACTGTTAGATTGCCAGGCATCATATTGAAGCTCCGCGTCTTCAATCTTTAATGACGTTAATATTCATCCCATTAGAGTAGTCAGACCAGGAGATCCACTTTTCCTATGCTTTTCATAATGTCCTTCTATGAAGTTTCAAACAGAGCCGTCACCTCGTCTTGGATATCATCGGTTTACCCGACTTAGTACTTCGCTTATGCAGACAATGTGATCATTTTGCGTAAGATCGAATTTCCCACCAGGAGCAGTGTAACCGATTCAATCAACGGCTGCAGTGCGTCGGCCTCAGCATCAGTCGCCTAAAGTCTTTCTCGGTAAATGTAATTGTTGACGGCGCTCGCAAACGGACCACACTGGAACGAATAATTTAGACTGTGACTAGTGTTTGTTCCCTCTATTCAGCCAGATGAAAAGTTTAAGATGTTATGCTTTGCGTTTAAATAGAAGAGTAAACTCCCTCCAGCAGTTATTGACGATATTACTGTGCAACCCGACGAAGTCACAATGGCACCGCTTAAATCGCAGCGAGGACTGGAGATTCTGAAAACTTATTTGCTACCCAAACATCTTTTTAAGTTAGCTCTCGCAGTGGTTCATCGGAATACAGAATCGGTTAGATTGCTTTGTCAGGTCGCACGTCAGAAAGTGGCTGCGTTTTCTGTCAGACACCTGGATGGTATATCTTTATGCTGCCATTGGGAATTTTGGTCTGGGTATTACCAGTCTGTCCATGAATATTCCCCTGCTGCGGGACAAGAGGCTAGAACGGTATCTTGCCAATTGCCATCCAGCTACCGGTTGGTCGCTCCGGGTCCATGCAACCGCCGCTATTCATCTTCTGGTACGTTCTACCGTTACCACTGGTAATCACGTCGTCATGGATAAAAGCTCAGTTGCGGAAGCCTGAAGAGATACTTTCTTCGCTTCAGAGAATGGTTCTCCCTTACAAAACGTAGTCACGAGAACTTCCGCACATCAATGGCTAAGGGACCACACCAGGATTTTTTCACGTCCTTTCATTCGGGGTGTCCAAGTACGGGGGTGTTCTTTCTACCAGAACACGACGGAGCAGAGACAGACCTACAAATGATCCGCCTTCTCTCAATTGCCGCAGAGGCTGACAAAAGGAGACTTTCGCTCATATTCTTCAGTCGTTTTGCATCATGCATGATGTACGCTGTAAACGACACAAGGAAATTGCGTCACTGATTGCAAGGCAACTGCGACGCAGAAACACTAACATTGTTATGGAGCCAATGATTCCGACAACCATCACTTTCATCAAACCAGACTTGCTTTCGGTTAAAAATTCCTGGATTCACATTTTAAATTTAGCCAGTTGAGAAGCGTACTGAATGGAGTGTACTTGCAAATTGAAGGTGGATAAATATGGATCAGGGGGAGTGCTACAGCGATATCGCCATATGTATGCGAACAATTTCCTGAGACCATGAACATCATTCATCGCCCCGTCATTATCGACAATCGAGGGATGAGATACTCCACTTTAGCCAAACACCTTAGTGCCCTCGGCTTGACGTCATTTGATATCTCTGCCCCCTGTGTTTCGACGCTTCGTTTTACTCTGAAGGTGTATATCACTTAGTTGCGAGGCACTTCATCTCGCCTTATATAGCACGCACCCAATAACACATAGTGACAATTGACGCGCTTCGGACCACTGTTTGAAGTTGTTATTTTAATCCGTGTTTGCTATTATGCCGGGACATTTGTTCACCCTTGGCATAGTGCTGTACAGCTCATCCCTCGAACTATGCATGCGAATGTCAAAGATATATGTTAATGGTAACAACATGCTGAGTTTGTGAGCAAGGTGATTTCCCGAATCCTGCTCAACAGCCTCGTCAGTCAGGTAGTTGAACGGAGCAAGGCAGAAGTGTAATATGGATTCCGTTCGGGTCACAGCACCATCGATATAGTATTTGTGGCTCGTCAGTTGAAGGAGAAGTGCGGAGAACGACACCAGCCGTTGTACTCGTTTTTTGTTGATTTCACCAAAGCATATGATACGGTGAGCCGCGAGGCGAATGTTGCGTAAGTTTGGTGGTCATAGTAAGTAACTTTAATGGAAAGTTTGCACAGTGGTATGCGGAAAAGGGTGTAGCTGAGTAGAAAGACGACGGATGAGTTTGCAGTTTTCTCTAGTGTGAAGCAGAGCTATATCTTAGCTTCTCCTCTTTTTGATATGTATCTTCATCCCATTAGGTCTCATGCTTTTGATGCGGCTTGTGCTTACGGTGTTCGTGAGGAACACCGTATTGATGGTGGGTTGCTAATCATCCGTCGTTTCGGTGCAAGAATCCTACCCGTGAGACAATTATCGGTATGGTGCTGTTCGCTGACGACTGTGCGTTGTTTGCACAACTCGGATGAGTTGCAGCACATAACTGGTGCTATAGATTCGATAGAGGCAAAATTCGGACTCGCCATCAACACAAGCAATCTTGCCTGGCCCATTAAGCCTTCACCCGAGGTGCAATCTACAATGGTGCAGCGAATCACCATTGATGCTAAACTATTGAACACCACCTCCCGCTTCCGATAACTTGAGATTGTTGTTTCGACTGTGCTTCGTATCCACGTATCGCAGGCAGCGGCGTCATTCGCGAAGCGTGAGTACTGAGTGTGGAATAACCGCCGGCTTACTGTCGAAATGAAGCTGATGGTGTACCAATCCATGGTACTGTGCGTTCTTCCATACGGCAGCGAAAGGTGGACGTTGTACCGGCGGGATGTGCGAGATCTCTAATGGTTTCATCAACAGTGTCTGCGGCGTATTCTGCGGATCGGTTTGTACACCGGAGTTGCAGAAACGGAATTGTTACACCGAAGTGGAATGTATGCAGTGGAGTGCAGACTTTTCCTGAGACACCTGAGGTGGCTCGGTCACGTGAGCCGTATGGATTCTACGCGGATACCAAAGCAGCTCTTATATGGTCATCTTAGTTTGGGGTAGCAGAATGCCAGGGAAACCAAAGCTTCGTTACTAGAATATGATGAAGGTGAGCCTACCAATTTCTAATGTTAATTTCAAATCATGTGAATCGAAAGCGGTTGATCCTCGTGCATGGCACGACCAATTCACAGAGGATGTTGTCGAGGTGCAAGCTGCAATGCCCTCTTGTACGCAGAGGAGAAACGGAAATTTGGAAGCGATAGGCCTGATGGGTTCTACTCCATCGACGTCGAGTGCATGGTGTACAAAGTGCGTTGTTGATATGGAGCAATGCTAGAGTAACAAATTATTATGTTTCCAGTTCGTTGCATACGTGTGAATCCAAAGGTTACCAGCGCTTGGCCACTTCTAGTATGCATAAAGTGTATAAATCGAGATCTGGAGCACAATGCTCAACAATTATTCCGCTTGTGACAAGGTTAGAATTTTCATTCGAAGAGAAATAACCCAAGAAAATCCGTGGCAAGTGAACAATCCTGACATTTAACCGACTAGCGATTATCCTGATGTCGACAGTTCATGTTCCGCTCGACAGGTTAGTGATGAGAGTGAGCATAGCTATATTTTCCGTTGATCATCAGCCATACTAAATTTATCGGGGCTTATGAAAACGGAAGTGCCAAGCGGATTGAAGGCGGATGCGCAGTGACGCGATTAGGGAATTAGTTGAGGCAGGATGGCGGTAGTTGTCGCTCCAACGACTCCACAAGCGGCGTATAGGTGTTATTGACACCTGTCAATGCTTAAGCTTGTGCAAAAATCGTACCTAGGGCAGCAGATGATCGAATCTGTTGGTGACACGGAGAGAAGAACAACGCATCGCAAGCGCACGCATGGCCATGGCCATCATCAGCTACGGAAACAGAATGTGCATATTGGAGGCAAGACTTAAGTACACACTATTTTAATCTATCACGTTTTAGTAATCATTCCACCCAGTAACCGTGCTGAAGGCGGTTGCAGCACTATTCCTATATCGGTTTCGTTCAAATATTCATGCCCAAGATTTAAGGCTGTTAGTTATGTTCACGTCTAAATGTTAAAGAAAACACCAATGGTTCTTACTGGATACTTATCTTTATGCGTGCGAAAATGGCTGTTAGCCTGACTTCCAAACGAAACATATGCACCTTTATATTATTATTGCTAATGAAGTTTAACATTTACCTATCCAGTTTGTAGCAGTTCATACTTAAGTTTGGACAAACATATGTGCATGTGTTTTATTCGACCCGTCAGTGAACACGAATGACGCCAATCCATGTATATATGTACATCGAATGTATTCGATGAGGTTAATCATACCGCTTTTGCACGGCCAACATAGTGCAGTGAAGCGGCGCTCTGGCAAACCGAAACTAATCTTATCAGGACATGAACAAGGTGAGTTTATGACGAACTAATGTTGATTTCAGGTAATGCGAATCCGAGGCAAATTTGATCGGTGTGAATACGGTGGTCTGAACTAAAGGGCGGTAGCCTATGATGTAGGAGAATGCACTATTACACACGGAAGAGAAGCACGATGCTTACACTCACATTGCTTTATAAATTCAGGTAAGTAAGGCGGCGTATATTGTAGGCTTGCCTGCGTTATGAGTATTCTTGCATTTCAGAAGTGGATGTTGTTTGAGCACCCCGGTGCGACTGCGACGGCTGTGAACGTTGACAAGCTACCCACCAGTCTAATACCTTCCACCACAATTGCTGTCTCCTGTAGACCGTTGGTCGTTGCTGTAGGAGACGGAGTGCACCGTCCTCGTGTCGGTGCTAGGCACAAAGGGTGGTTCCATTCAACCTGTGTGGAACGGGCTACGGCCCAGCCACCGCCTTGTGGGCGTCTGGAGTGCACGGTTTTCAAGTTAGGCCAGAAGGCTTCTGTTCTGCTTGTTGGAGGAGTGTAGTCCCCACTCCGTTCCTGAAACGTGGCTTCCATCCACATGTCTCCCGGTCTTATTCCGTCTAGTTTACACCGGATGTGAGGTGTGTGGGTGTGGCAGCACAATCCGCCTATGGCCCCTCCTTTGGCGCAGGTGTCCTGTGGCTGCGCACATTTAGGCCACAGTGACAGCCAAATCGGGAAACGGATGAAGCCAATCCCACGCCACTGCAGTCACATCTTTCAACGCTACCTTCCCACACCCCCACTGAAAGCCAATCGGCAGCAGTCCCTTATAAGGCATCGCTGCCCGGTTATCAGCGTTGTTGAACGTTTACACTCTAAGTGAAATAGGTCAACCCGCTGCACTCGCGCACACGTTGGACACACCTGGTTTTGACGTGTGGTGTGTGCCTGAAACTAGGATCAGTTACCCTGACGGTGTGGTCGAATTATCTGCGCCCGGTTTGTCCTCTCGATATTGGGCGCACGCATCCGGAGACACGGATGCAGCAACTACTAGTCGAACTGCTGTGGACATCGTTCTTAGTTCCAATGTTCAATCACCGTTATTAGATTGGATTTCTCTACGCAGCTGATTGTACGCAACTCGTTTGGCGACGTCAACTAAGGTTGATTTACGAAAAAGTACAAGTCGAAGTTTGTTTGTGATTGCAACCCATACAGATAAGATCAACTGAAACCACTAGTACACATTATCACCAAATATGCGCCTCAAACGCGGGACAATCAAGATGTTACTCCGGACCCCCACCACCTTAGCCAGCAGGTCACGACAGAAAATGCTTGGTTGAGTACAAGGCAACTTCATCGCTAGCAATGCTGTGGCTCTCAGAGGCATAAGTCTCTGAGCTAAGCTCTCAAGATAGGAGGGAGTTGGTCATGTTTGACACCTACGTCCGTCCAGTGTTGTTCATGTATGGTGGGAGTTCTAAGTCGGTTATACGGAGGCGGGTTATCTGGTGGTTGACAGAGAACAACTGCTTCCTCGTTGGACTGTTTGTCGACCTCAAAATGCAAAACGGGTCCCAGTCAAGTGCTCTGCATGCTAGTTGGATGGATGCCTCGATGATTGTTCGTTTCTATCATAGTGCCTAGTTGGGTGAACCCCTGAGGCAGCCAATCATTGACCTGGAAGATCGAACCAAATTCGTTCGCTGAAAGACTTTTTCGGGTTTCAGCCTATCACGTTTGTGAATATGGACATCGATATCAGACATAAAAGTTGTTAAATGCATC